TCTGATAAAATCAAACAGTATTAAGATGAATTTTAGTTTTAAATTGTTAATATTAATGAAATTGTGGATATTTTACTGTTTAACAGTTAAAATGTTAATAATCCACCATATGATAAAGACGCATTTTAGGCTAAATTTTATGGCTACATAATAAAAACTGGCATGTAAAAACCGAAGTGTTCAGTTCGATTCACTTTTTCTTGCTGTTCATCTCTCCACATATCAAGAAGGTAACGGGGGGGAGGAGGCAGCAAGGTTAGGAATGCCTAGCCTCCTCCGAGCACAAACAGTGGGAAAAAAAGCTCAAAGTATTCTGCAAGGCCATGGCTCATTCAGTGAAAGAGGCAGTGGAAGAGAAGTAGGAAGAGGGGGTCACTCCAACAGTCGTCCCACATCCCACCCACCCCGTGAAGCATTCCACAGGTCTGTCTGCTCACCCATCATTAAGCAAGACCACCTGCTGGCAAATCAGAACCCCCATCATGTTCTCAAGAAGCCCGGTTAACCTCATTAGTACCAGTGAGCCGCTGGACTGCAGTGCACACATATCGTATCAAGTCAGCGTTATGCTGTGCAGTAGAACGCTGCTCAGTAACATTCCAGACAGACAGCTTGTACACTAGCTGCCCTCAGCTTTGTGGATTTAAATAGAAACAACACAAAGAGGACAATGAAATGATTTCTGATGCAGCTGTTGCATGACTGGGCACGGACTTCTGACTGGCTCGCCTCCCTCCTTGTAGAAGAGATAAAAAAAGGTAAGGGGAGGAAGAGATCAAGACTGTAGAAAGAAACAGCCCCTTTGTTGCCGTTTCTCATCAGGGTCCTCAGGGAAAGACTTTGACATCAAGTTATCAAGAGCTGAAACAAAAGCAGCTGATAAACAGAGTGTGGGGGGGGGGGGGGGGAGATACCATCTCCCCGCCTACTCAACACTTCTCCATCAAGAACGCTTCCTCCCTTCGAAACCAAACACCCCTCACCCTCCTTCTTTTTTCCTTCTTGTTGCAAAAGCTAAAAGGAAATGATAAATGTGGCACCAACTTTTGTGTCGAGCCTTCATCCACGCATGCAAAAACACGTTTAACGTTCCCAACGAGACACCAAGGGACCGTGGTGGATTCTGTTTGACAAACTGTCAACTCTAAATGGCAGAGAGCGCCATACTGCTTAAAGGACAGAGGAGAAATGTTTCATGCCTGAATAACCCATAGCAGGTGCGCTGTAAGACAATTTCCATGGGGTGCCAACAAATTAGACACTCCTTCAAGAAGCCTATACGTCATCAGTAGGCCTGTCACGATAACAAATTTTGCTGGGCGAGTGTCTCAGAAATTATTGCGATAAACCATTATATTGTTAGAAATTTGACAATAATTAGTAATTATTGTCAAATTTAAGAGGAAATGTTTGTTAATTTGTTTTGAGTGTGGTACCTTTTTTCAACCACTGGATGGCAGTATAAGACTGTTTGAACTGAATGATGGCTAGTGAGGGAAAGAGCAGCGTGTATCTTTAAGAAAAATGGGAGGGAGGGCCCTTGATGTGTCATGGGCTGTCTCTCTTCGGTTCTCAAAATGGCGGAAGCTCTGTATGGTTTGAGCTATTTAGGATAGCATTTTTCACACAAAGCTTTTAATTTTTAAAAAAATCAGTAAACAAGTTCTCAGCTTCTTTTTGCAGAGAAAAACAACTTTTTACAAGAAGACACTGCTTTCAACCGTGAATTTTGGAGCTTTGACGAGACAGGGAGGAAACAAAAGTACCCAGAGAAAACGCATGCAAACAACTCCACACAGAAAGACCCCAGATCCAAACCAGGGACTGAACTGTGGACTTTCTTGCTGTGAGACAACTGTGCAAACCACTAACCCACTGTGCTGTCCACAGCTTTGCTAGTGTAACACACACAACTCTCAATTTTAAACTTATTTTGAAGCGTGCCCCTGGAAACCCCCTATTAATAGAGTCAGGTAGTCCTGCCATTTGAACATATCCCTTTATCACAAACATTTTGGACAACCCCAGCTCTTGTGAGAACATGTAAATATAGGGGAAGAGCTAAACTGTAGTGGCAAGGGGTGAAATGGGATTTGAAGGGGAAAATAAATGTATTGTGTCATGAACCTCTGATCTAAACTCACTAACCCTTGCATCTTGTACATTTCAACTCACATTATGAAAAAAAAAAAGTCATGTTTTTCCTTTATTTCATATAGCTCTTCTTATTTCTCCTCTTGCAAATGTTTTTTTAGGGCTTTTAGCGGCAAAGGCACTCACACAAAGCCTTTTTTCTTCCACTGCAGACAACGCACCTCCCCACCTAGCCGTCTGCCAGGCATTCCTAGGTCTATCCCAGCTATCGAAAATGTTAAGAATGAGGGGAGAGCAGAGGAGGGTGCAATGAGTGCTGCGGCAGGTAGAGTCTTGTCCCACTGCGCACACTTCCCACAGTCTCTGGGGTTAGTGTTTGTGTGGAGCGGATGGGATCGGACTCAACTGTCTTAATTAAAACTCTTCACTTGAACAAGCCTCAAAGCTCCTTCTCCTCTGGGTGAAGACTTTCAAGCTAATTATCAAGGCCACTTCCTCTCACCAAAAACAAGAGGAAGATATCGTGATCGGTACGGACCTGAGAGATGTCCACAAATACGATTTGTTGGATCATCAAAGGATACGAATCTTCTGAACTTTTCTTAGGCAGCGGCTAAATCTTTGCAAACACGAGTCTTTTCATGAGATTTGTGTTTAGATTATGTTGTAAAGTCCTATAAAGTGTTTTCTTGCCGCTATTCCTTTAAATGCAAGGGGATATGAGAAAACCAGGTTATGCAAAGTAAACCCTCTTCAAACATAAAGCCTCAAAACAAAAAAAGGCTCGTTCTAGACAGTTTGCTCAGAGCCAAGAAACTCTCCTTTCCTTTGCAGGAGTCCAACAAGAAGAAAAGGGTGCTGAATAAAAAGGTTAGTGGAGCAGTGTTTCGTGCCTGGACAGACAAACAGAAGAAGTTTTATGTGCGTGCCAAATGCAACTTAACACTGCAAACAAGCTACATCCATTGGAACATCCTACCACCCTGAAGTGTTCAGAGAAAAATACCAAGATCATACACCACAGGACTCTAAAACAGTGACTGCCTCAGAAATCCCTCAGCGAGGTGATTCGCGCTCTGGTTTACCTTGTTTCCAGCCGGTTTGATTCAGATTCAAACTCAAACTTTCATACAGCTGCCAACTTTGTCAAGTAACAATAAAAAGTTAAACAGGAGCAAGCTTACTGCAAAGGGGCACAACATGCTACTGACTTAGGTAAGCTTTATTAGTTTCGACTGCATGATTAGTAGGTCTGTCGCGATAATTATTCACTTAATTTTCATTTATCGGTTTTATCGTTTCTTCGAGTCTCTCTCTTTCTTCTGGACACTGGATGATAAAAGGCTCAACTCTGGTGCTCTTCACTGACCCTTCCCTTTCTCTTTTGTCTTTAAAATCCGTTTTAACCATCCAAAATCACGTTTTTGGATCATTAAAAGCAGCTAAGCTACGAGCTAAGCTAACAGGCCGACCTCAGGGTAAATACCTCCGTCTTGTCAAGGTTCCACAATTCAAGGTTGAAACCCGTGCCTTTGTGGAAAAAGTTTTTCTCTGCAAAAAGAAGCTGAGAACTTGTTTACTGTTTTTTTTTTTTATTAAAACCTTTTTGTGAAAAATGCTATGCTAAAGAGCTCAAACCACACGAGCGTCCGCCAATTTGAGAACCGAAAAAAGGAAAGAGACAGCCCATCTAATATCAAGGGGCCTCCCTCCCATTTTTCTTAGAGACACGCTGCTTGCTCCCTCACTATCCATTTTTCGGTTCAAACTGCCTTATACTGCCATCTGGTGGTCAAAAAAGGTACTATACGCAAAATAAATCAACCAACATTTCTTCTTACATTTAACAATAGTTCAGATTCAGATTTTCTTTATCGTCGTTCGCACTACATGTGGTACATGTGGTGGAGCGAAATTATGTACACAGAGTCCCAGTTACATCCAACAATAAAATGTAAAAGAAAAATGGTAAGATCTAAGATATGAACTAAGACTATGAATTAAGAAAAGCATCACCTAAATATACACTAAGCACTGATAGCATAAAAACAATACACCGTTACAATAATTACTAATTATTGTCAAATTTCAAGCAATATTATTATTTATCGCAATAATTTCTGAGACAATTAATCGCCCAGCAAAATTTGTTATCGTGACAGGCCTATTGATTAGTCTTATAAGCATTTGTCAAATTACTCCTCAGCCAAACGAAGGATTTCAAAGAACAATTGAAGTTCATTAACTTGTTTCATGCTAAAGCGGTTGTGCAAAGAAATACAATAAACGCCTTCAAAGATTAATAAGTCTTTTTTTCCCATGTGGCCATGGTTCATCCACTCAGCTTATTGCCCTCTTTTTGTACTTTAAAGTTTTTGTTATACAAGAAAGTTGCAATGCAGAAACCCGTAAGTCACTTGTGAAGATCTGCATTAGCCTGCGCTTCCTAGTAAAGCTCTCAAGTGCTGTGCATGTTTGTAGAAGTGGGAGAGTTCAAATTCAGGCCCAGCTACACGGTGCAAAGGTTGAGAATCAACCCTTAACCGTGTCTCCAAGCTATTTATTAGTCACGCCCACCTCAAGGCTTCACTGACAGCCTGAAGCAACACCATAGCAACAAAGCCTCTAAAATGACTCAGGTGTTCTGGTTTCATGGAGTTGAGGAATACTTTAACCCACGGGCCCCGAGGCTATGTCATTTTAGCAGCCAGTGTGAAATCTTGTCTGCTGTAAGTGACTTACAATTACTGTGAGTTTTCAAAAACAGCATGTTCCTCAAGTTGTAAGACATGCTACAGAAATACGTCACAGCTAATTGACTCATAAAATAAGACTAGATTTGCTCATATTTTCCACACGGGGCATACCAACACTCCTTTTCCTTGACACGCACAGTAGCTACTTACCTTCCACGCAGTGCTCCACATCCTCCAGGTTGCGGAGAGTAATCCTCATCAAACTCGAGTTGAGCTGGAGTTCGTTCTTGTGCTCGGGCCCCATGGACTCCGGAGCAAGGTTGAGAAAAAATATGCGAGTGTCTCCCGTGGCCACTTGGTTGTCGCAGATCCGGGAGTTGCCGAACCCGCCGATCATCACTTTGTTGCCTCCATCCAGAAGGATTTCACGGTTGACGTTGGACTTCCCTTTCAAGTAGCGCCAGACCCTGACCTTTAGAAAGCAACCACATGGGAATGTAGGTTTTAGAGTTTTGTAAGCGCCAGAAACATTCAATCAATTTTTAACCCAAAAAAATGTCACCAAAATGTGTTTCGTGAATTCTGAAACATTTTGCTGACAAACAAAAGTTCACGCCAAAGTGTAGGTGTACCGGAGTCTGAATATTCAGAATAACTTTCTACATAATAGGTCTCATCCAGAAGCTTCAGATACAGACTATGTAAGACCACTGCTAAAACTTCTTATAATGCTGCTTGCATGAATAAACTCTGCAACGTCAAAAGTGAGGAAAAGGCAACTTTACTCATAGTCATGGAAAAGTTCCTTCCTTCTGTTACATTTTAGCCGTCTTGTCTCATTTCAGCATTTAGTGTTGGTTTGTGTTTACAGACTGTGAGCCGTGCGCCTCTAATCTTCCCCATTCATTCACCGAGACACGGGAAGCAAGTGGGTGCAAAGGAAAAGAGGAGCGAGGGAGCTGACCAAACACAACTTGTTTATTTTTCACAGATTATAGAGTGGCCTACCGCAAGTCTGCCGTGGTGCAAAAGTTAAGTTTCCCGATGAAAAGACCAGGGAAGGAGGATGCAGGAAGGGGTGCTTCCTGATTGAAAATCGGCCTTTTTTCCTCTTGTTTTAGTGGGGGTGGGAGGGAGTAATGTGTGCTATATTAAAGTTAATCAAAAACGAATGTGACATAATGCACAGAAACTTTAGTTTTAGGTTCTACTAACTTTTGCACATACACATGCAAAACTACCCATACAACCCCATTGCTGAAAAAACTTGAGATGACATGTAAAATGTGGAGAAAAAAGAATGCAATGAGTTGCAAACCTCACAGACCTGCATTTTATTTACAATGTAAATGTTAATAAAATATTGTATCCTTTACAGGAAAACATTAAGGCAACTTTCTACTTTATGGCAGCATCGTATTTCAAAAAAGTCACGACAGAAGCTACAAAAGACTAAACGTAATTGGTGCAAATCAGAAACAAGCGAAGGAGCATTTTACCGGTAATTAGGTTAATTGGGAACAGGTCAGTAAGAGGACTGAGTGTAAAATGAAGATTTTAGAGAGGCTGAATCTCTTAGAAGTAAAGATGGGCAGAGCTTCACCAGTCTGCAAGAAACTGCATCTAAAATTTGAGGACCGACTTCAGAATAATGTTCTACAATTAAAAATTCGGAAGACTTTTTGAAAATCCCATCATCAACAATTCAGAACATCATCAAAAGATTAAAGAATCTGGAAAAATCTCTGCTCAAAGGAAAAGACCCAAAGTCAAAAGAGCCAAAGAGGTGATTAAAAACTGCATTAACAACAGGTTTGACTCTGTTCTGGACATCAGCACATGGGCTAGGAAAAACTTCCATAAATCACTGTACGTAATCACAGTTCACTGTGCCACCTGCAAAGGTTAAAGCGCTATCGTGCACAAAAAAAGCTATGTGAACACCAAAAAGTGGAAAACTGTTCTGTGGTCAGAAATTTTGAAATTACTTTTATTATATTTTTTAAACCACATGTGCATCTTACTGAAGAGGAGAGAAACCACCCCGGTCTGTTATCAGTGCTCAGTTCAGAACCCTGCCTCTCTGATGGTATGGGGATGCATTAGTGTCCTAGTGCATGGACAGTTTACACATCTGATGAGACACCATTGAAACAGAACTGTATATACAAGTTGTATACGAACATCATACACTCCCGTCTAAGACCATTGATCAGCTACAACGCACAAGAACTTCTGCAACTCGTTTCTTCAACTCCTCCACATTTACAGACCGTGACTGCTGGATATGGGCGTCAGCGATCCCCAAGTCCCGGAAAGGATGAAGCGGGTAAAGATAATGGACGGATGGACCATTAGAAGAGAAGATGCTTCACAGCCGTGGGAAACATGGCCCTGTCTTAACTTTGTTGAAATGTGTTACTGCAATAAAAATCTAAAACTACCATGTACGCAATTACTTAGTTTTAACATTTGATTTGCTTACTACGTTCCACTGTGAGCACAATATGGGTTTATGAGATTTGAAAATCATTGCATTCTGTTTTTATTGACATTTACGCCCCAAAAAAAGCCCAACTTTTTCTGAATTAGGGTCCTATAGGTTGTCACAGCCACACCTTGCAGCACTTCTGCTGAGCCAGTACCCATTGTGACTTAAATTAGTATATTTTTTTTTAGTAACAATGATTTTTTTTTTTCCTCATAATTACCGGTATGTTCACTGTTCTCCCCCACAGACACCACATTTAACTTACTACCACTAGTAACATAGCTCTTGTCAACTGCACAATAGATTAAATCTAGATTCAAACAGTGTATCCCTGCGGCTACAGAGAAATGACAAGTTGCATATTTTTCAATTTTTATGACTATAAGTGGGAGCTAACAGCCAGAGGGGGGGGGGGGGGGGGGGGGGCTCAGAGGGACCATTTATCTGCTGCAGTGTGTTTTGAATGATTGCATGCCTGATGAGAGAAGTAAACATAAAATAAAACATCATAAGAGAGGAGTGTCCATTTAACTAAAATGTGTTGGTTGAATGAGTTTTTCATGGAGTTCTAACAAAAAGTATTCACTTTTAAACAACGAGGCTGAAAAGCCTGAGGGCAGGTGGTGTTCACCTGGTGGCGCATGCACTCACCTTGCACGAGTAGGTGTTGTGCACCGGGTCCATGTTAATGATTTCGTTCACGGTTCCGGTCAGAACCACGTTGGCTTCCTCCTCCCTCGCCTCCAAGTTTTTCTCCGGGCAGCTGGCGGCGCAGGGCGGCCACAGAGCCGCGAGCAGCCCGGCGAGCAGCAGCGCAGCCCCGCCGGCCTGGAGCGTCCGCTGGGAACCCATGATGGCCACCGCTCGGACACAAGGAACCCAGAAAAGTTCACTTTGCTTGAAATGTGTAGAAATGTGCCCGCCCTGGCGCGTCCACAAACTAACTCCAGAAAGGGGGGGAAACTAGTTGGAGCGGGTTGAAAATGTTGCGCCGAGCCTGAAGTTGCCAGCAGCGCGTGTTGAGCCTCCTGCAGCCCCGCTGCGCGCATCTGCAGCCCGGGTTCAAAATCCCTCTCTGCCGCCGGCTGGAGGGCGGGGGGAGGAGGGGGAGGAGGAGGAGGAGGGGGCAGGGATCTCTCGCTCTCTCCAGGAATGCAACCACACTCCTCTCTCTCTCTCTCTCTCCACACGCACGCACGCACGCACACACACAGCGACGCTCCTGGATTTGCATGCGATCTGAATATCTGATCCCACAAGTGAGGATGAGGTGGGTGATGGTGGTGATAGTGGTGGAGGTGGGGGGGGGGGGATGTCTGGAAGTGACTGTCCAACGCCACCCCCAGTTGGACACACAGCGTCTTTACCTCTCCTTATCAACACCGCCCTTATCAATATATCGATAACCTGAAAAGATGGAGTGTTTCACTGCGCCCCCCCCCCCCCCCTGAGAGGCCCTTACTGTTACTGTTGGAAAAGTTTTAGCTGATGTGTCAAATGAGCTGATATTTGGTAAATGGGTTATTTAAAAAATGATTTATTATTATAACAGGTCGTAAATAAAAGTCCTTTGTGCCAACAGGACAATCAAACTTTACTGACACCTCAAATGAAGCACAGTTGATCAATAGTTGATCAATTTAATTCAGAGTTGTTGTTTTTTTTGTTTTTTTTTTTTGTTTTGCACATCAATGCCCTTAAAATTTGAGCTCGGTATAAAATAAAGTGATTTTTGTGGAAATTATTGTGTTTGCATTAACTATTTTAAAATGTTAAACCGCCAGGCTGGACAGCTTACAGGAACAACAGCACAAATCAGAAAGATAGATCAGAAACGTGCTGAAAACATGGCTGTAAACAAGAATTTAAGGAACTTTAAAAAAAGGAAAACAATCAAAACTCCAAAGCTGTGTATCTTGTTTTGAATTTGGCGCTGTATTTTATCTCTAAAAAGAGTTTAAATAAGTTTTTTGTGTGTGTGGATTGAGTTTAATCAAACTGTTTCCATCTGTTTTCAGTTTTGATTTATTAAAAAGTTGGTTAGATGCCTTTTTCAGTTATCACAAGCCTTTCAGGTGTTTTTGTTTAAGGACCTTGACGTTCACTGTTTTGGGTCTGTCCCTTTGTTTTCACACACATTCTTAGGACGCTGGTTCCAGTTGCTCTCAAGCAAACCCCAGGGTGGGTCTATGCCAAGGCAGTAAATCAGCAAAGTGCTCTAAAGATCTGATGGGAGAACAACACTAAGAAAGTTACCGTATTTTTTGGCCTATAAGTCACTTCTTTTTTTTTTTTTTTTTGCATAATTTGCCTGCCCTGCAACTTATACGCCAAAGCGATGTATTTATGGATTTTTCCCCATATTTATAAACTAATTTTTGGCTGAGATATAACTGTTTTCATTCATTCTCACTGTTATGTGCCTGGGGCACATTGGCCTTATTGTTTTGTCCTTGGGACATGTTTTGAGTTGACTGATTAGCCTTTAATTGTTTTGGGCTGTGGCCTTTTCTGCCTCACCTATTTAAGAGGTTGGTCCCAGGGAGCTCTGCTCCCCTTCCCCTTTCAACTTTCCCTCTCATGGCTCTTGGCTCTCTTGGCTTTCTCAGGGATCTTTTTGCTCTTTTTAGCCCTCAGACTCCCTCTTTTTGGATCCTCACAGACTCCCCACATTTTTGGACCTTTTTCTTGGCCGCCCTGGTTTTCTCAGGGCTCTTGTTTTTTTTCTTTGTCCCGAAGCTGTGGCCTGCTGTCGGTGACCTCAGCCACCTCAGGTAATTTTTGTAAACTTTTTTTATAATTTTTGTAACTTTGGCCTGGTGGGACTGGGTGTCCTGTATTCGCCCTTTTCTATTGTAATGGGGGTTTTGTAGGTTTTATCTAGTTTTAGTCTGGTACCAGCAGCGGCTTCGACGGCCCTGTATAGGGTTGGCCCACTGCAGTACCTTTTTGTTCTGTTTGACCAGGTCGCCAGGTCCAGCTTTAAGTTGTTACTTTGGATTTTTGTGTCTTTTTTGGTGGACACGGGAATTGGGGGTTCTTTACAACCTTCTTTTTTTCAGGAAGCAGCAGCCTAAATAAATTGAAAGTTTCAACTCTCATATTTGTCTCGTGTCCTCCTTTAATATGTTGTGCCCTTGGTGGATGTAATATTAATTGGGGGCTCATCCGGGATTGAAAATATTGAACACTAAATTTTCAACCACTAGATGGCACTCAAGTTGTATGGCATGCTGTTGTGTCATGTAATACATAAAAGTGGCTATTAATGACACAGTTGGCTTGCCACAGCTTCCCATCTTCGTCCAGCTTGCCTGAAGCAACCGTCAAATCAGCTTCATTTTGCTGTGCCATGTACGCCGTAAAATATGGTAGATCCATACATATAAAAACTGAAATTTGGGGGGGGGGGGGGGATTACAAACTATCCATAACAACTTTATATGACATGATTTATGCTGTATAGAAGGAAAATTCAACTGTTTTCTGTATTTTAAAGTGGATGTTCCTCACATGCATATGTTCTCCATTTCCATCTTCTACCCCATACCTGTGGTTGGTCACAGAAGCAGCAGGTCCCAGCGAGAAACCCAGACATCCCTCTCATGAGCAGCACTCTCCAGCTCCTTCTGGGATGCTCTAAGGCTTTCCCAGGCCAGAGAACATACACAATCCCTGCTGGGTCTGGCATCTCCTCCCAGAAACAGTGGAAACCTCCAAAGAGAGACAACCAGGAGGCTTTCTAATCAGATTCTCAAACCACCTCAACAGTTTCCTTTCAATACCTAGGAGCAGCGACTCTACTCTGAGAAACTCCCCCCTGATGATGGAGCTCCTCATTGTATGAGCCTGGCCACCCTGCAAAGAAAGATCATCTCAACCACTTGTTTTCGAGGTCTCGTTTTTTTCGGACATGATCCAAACCTCATGAAGCATAGGTGAGGGTCAGAACGTTGACAGGCCAGTAAAACACTCAAAGACTCGAGTCTTTTTTCACCATGACCGACTGAAGCAACGCCCTCATTACTGGAGATGAGGCCCCAATCTGTCAATCCATCTCCCGCTTCATCCTGCAGGGTTTCTGTTTGTTTGTTCTCCTGCACTCCTCTGTGTTTTTCCTCCTTGAGTCAGCTCCTGTCTGTAATCCCAATCACCCCAGGTGTTTCTCCTTCTGTCTCATCAGTCTCTATAAAGTCAGTGTCTTTCCATTCCTCCTGTGTACGGGCATTGTCATTATCTGGGCCAAGATGGCCACGCTCAGCCAAGTGGCAGCTTCACAGACTCCCAGTGAAAGTTTTTCGATTCGACTCAAACTTTTATTTTTTGCGCCTACAATGCACATCCACGGTACGGGTATGACCACGACACACTTGTGGAGTTTTCTGTGTTGCTGCATTGTCATCGTGGTTCAGTCCTTCCAGCCTTGGGCCCAGGCCTATCATGGTGGCTGTCTCCATGATCCTCCATCTGCCTGCACGGATTGAATTCTACAGACCCGCTTGGTTCCATGGGGAAACCTTGGATGTTCTCTGTCTGCCAGACCTGGTTCTGGAGGGCAGCTGCTGTGGTCAATATTACCATCAAGCTGCTGATGGGACCTGCTAACTGACCTGCTAATGCTGCTAACAAGATCCCCCGTCTGCCTGCACGGACCGAACTCTACGGACCCGCTTGGTTCCGTGGGGAAACCTTGGATGTTCTCCGTCTGCCAGACCTGGTTCTGGAGGGCAGTCTGGAAGGGCAGCTGCTTCAGTCCTTGTTATCATAATGCTACCTGCCAACAAGACCTGTTAACACTGCTAACAAGACCACACTGCTAACTGAACCTCACTGCTAACAGAACCATGCTGCTAACTGGACCATGTTGCTAAGATAACCTCATTGTCTTCAGAAGCACTCTGCCAATAGGACCATGCTGCTGTAGATTTGTCTTTTTCACTTTTAGCGCCTTGTTTTTGTCTTTTTGTTGCCTGCTTTGTTACAGATGAGCCGAAGGAGAATCGTGCTGCTGTTGTTCGGTGTATCGTTTTGCACTTTTAGTGACTGGCGTATATCTTAGATCTTTCAGTGTATCGTTGGGCGTTCGTTTAGTGTATATCTTATTTTATATCTTAGATCCTTATTTATGGTTTCTTTTTTCACTTTATATTTTTAATATTGTTGGATGTAACTGGGACCCTGTGTACTCAATTTCGTTCCACCTCATGTACCACATGTGATGCGAATGACAATAAAGAACCTTGACTTGACTTGTCCTCCTAAGGCTACATGTTCTGCTCCTCTGTAATGTTTTGCTGCCCCATCAGCATTTTGTTTTATTTAAATAAATATATTTTTATTTTTACCTTGGTGTCCTGTCATCAGCCCGCACGTGGGTTCAACCATTAACAGCAGAAATATGTCACATCCTATCATCGCTTGTGAACAAGATGCCCAGACCATGAGGTGTTTATATGTTGTTTTTAGATTTACATAATCTAAACTCCTTCGTAAATAAAAATAAAATAAAAAAAACGAAGTCCAGATGACATGATTCAACCTTTTTTGTTGTTATATACCTGGATGACTGAGAAAACAAACTTTGTGTTTTTGAAACCATTAGTGAAAAGGCCAGACTTCAGGGGTATCTGAGGCAGGCTTGAAACACAAGAGTCAGGGTGGCTTCTGGGTAATACCAGATGGCTAGGCCTCAGACTGACGAAGCCTCTTGGATGAGGGGCGAAACGTTTCTTTTTAACAAAAAAACGAAGTCCAGATGACATGATTCAACCTTTTTTGTTCCTTCGTAAATACTTTATATTCTCTATATTCCCCCAGTTACAGGACACTGAGAGCTGTGATTATTCAGAACGTTTATCACCCCGCCCCTCCAATGACTGAACATGTTACACACTGTATGTCAGTATTATTAAAGATTCCCCTTTCATCGCAAAATGTTTCAGCCTATAAACGCAACCATATGGGTTTTTTGTTCGAGGTCTCTTTCAAGAGCAGACAGAGCGTAAATTTCCTCTCCTCAACAGCTGTAATTTTAACTACAGATCTATTCTAG